CTCTGTATCGGTTTTGGAGGCTATCGGTCCAGCCCAGCCTCGAACTCACAGAGATCCGCCTGCCTCTGCCTCCCGAGTGCTGGGATTAAAGGTGTGTGCCACCACCACCTGGCTCTAAATGTGTCTTTTAAAAAGACACTTGAGAAAGTGCTCAACATCCTTAGCAATCAGGGAAATGCAACTCAAAACAACTCCGAGATACCATCTTACACCGGCCAGAATGGCTGAAATCAAAAACACCAATGACAGTCTATGCTGGAGAGGATGCGGAGAAAGAGGAACACTCCTCCATTGCTGGTGGGAGTGCAAACTTGTACGACCACTCTGGAAATCAGTGTGGTGGTTTCTCAGGAAAATGGGAATGAGTCTACCTCAAGATCCAGCAATTCCTCTCCTGGGCATATACACAAAGAATGCACATTCATACAACAAGGACATATGTTCCACTATGTTCATAGCAGCATTATTTGTAATAGCCAGAACCTGGAAGCAACCTAGATGCCCTTCAACTGAAGAGTGGATAGAGAAAATGTGGTACGTTTATACAATGGAGTACTACTCAGCAGGAAAAAAAAACAATGGAATCTTGAAATTTGCAGGCAAATGGATAGAACTAGAAGAAACCATCCTGAGTGAGGTAACCCAGTCACAAAAGACAAACATGGTATGTACTCACTCATATATGGTTTTTAGGCATAAAGAAAAGGATTACTAGTCTACAATCCACACCACCAGAGAAACTAGGAAACAAGGAGGACCCCAAGAGAAAAACTCATGGTCCCCCGAAGAAGGGGAGGGGGGACAAGAGCCCCTGAGCAAATTGGGAGCATGGAAAGGGGAGAAGGGGGAGGAGAACAGGAGGACTGAGACAGGGGAGGAATAGAAGAGGGCAAGAAAGGAGACGCCTTGATAAAGGGAGACAGCACAGGTTCTGAGAGAGTTCTGGTATAGAGATAATGGTAGGGATCCACATGGATATCATCAACTAAGAATCTAGGCAGTAGTGGAGAGGCTGCCTTTGATGCCCTTCCCCTATAATGAGATTGATGATTACCTTGGTTACCATTCCTAGAGCCTTGACCCAGTAGCTGATCAAAGCAGAGACAGACACCCACAGCTGAGCACTGAGCCATACTCCTGGAATCCAGTTGCAGAGAGGGAGGAGAGATGGACAAATGAGCCAAGATGGTGCTGGAGATACCTGCAGAAATAGTTGACCTGACCTAATGAGAGCACACAGACCCTAGTTGTAAAGTGGGGGAACCAGCATTGGACCAAACCAAGCCCTCTGAATGTGGGTACCAGCTAGGAGGCCAAGACAGTCTATGGAACCTCTAACAGTGGAGCCAGGGTTTATTCTTAAGTTACAAATGGATTTTGGGAGCCCTTTCCCTATGGAGGGATATTGTTGCAGCCCAGATATGGAAAGGAGGACTTTGATGATCCCCTGTGGAGGGTCTCACTATTCCTGGGGAGTGGGTGGTGGGTAGATTGGGGAGTTGGTGGGAAGCATGGGAGGATGGGGGAGGGTGAGGGAATGGGGGATGGATATGTAGACAAGAGTGTTTCTAAAAATAACTACACTCAACCTTTTAAAAATAATTAAAACTAATTCAGTTTTTTACATTCTAATCCCAGTTCCCCCTTCCTCCTCTCCTCCCACTCCCCCCACCTTTCCCCACCCCACCTCCCATTTGCTCCTTAGAGAGGGTAAGGCCTCCCCTGGGAAGTCAACTAAGTCTGTTACATCACTTCGTTGAGGCAGGACCAATATGTCCCCCTCCCCATCTCATGCCTAGGCTGAGCAAGGTGTCTCTCCATAGAGAATGGGCCCCACAAAGTCATTTCATGCATTAGTGTTAGATTTCAGTGCTACTGCCAGTGGCCTCATATATTGTCCCAGTCACACCATTGTCACCTGTATTAAGGGAGTTTTAGTTCGGTCCTATGCAGGTTCCCCAGTTGTCAGTACAGAGTCAGTGATCTCCCACTAGCTCGGGTCAGCTGATTCTGTGAGTTTCCCCATCATGGTTTTGACTCCTTTGCTCATATTATCACTCCCTTCTCACTTCGATTGAACTCCAGGAGTTTGGCCCAGTGGTTAGTTGTAGATCTCTGCATCAAGCTTCTCTGAGGTTGTAGACTGTAGGCTGGTTATCCTTTGCTTTATGTCTGGTATCCACTAATGAGTGAGTACATATTGTATTTATCTTTCTGGGTCTGGGTTACCTCACTCAGGATGTTTTTTTTTTTTTTTCTTTCAAGTTGCTTCTATGTGCCTGCAAATTTAAAGATGTCATTGTTTTTTTTTTTTTTTTACCACTGAGTAGTACTCTATTGGGTTAAATATACCCCCTTTTCTTTATCCATTCTTCCGTTGAGGGGCATCTAGGTTGTTTCCAAGTTCTGGCTATTACAAATAATGTTGCTATGAACAGAGTTGAGCAAATGTCTTTGTGGTGTGAGTGTGCCTCCTTTAGGTATATGCCCAAAAGTGGTATTGCAGGGTCTTCAGGTAGATTGATCCCTAATTTTCTGGAAAATTGCCATACTGATTTCCACAGTGGCTGAACAAATTTGCATTACTACCACATCTTTTCCAACATAAGGGGTCATTAGTGTTTTTCATCTTAGCAATTCTGATTGGCGTAAGATGGTATCTCAGAGTTGTTTTGATTTGCGTTTCCCTGATAATTAAGGATGTTGTATGCTCAACCTTTTGTGTAGGTGTTGAGAATCTAAAAGCAAGTTCTTATGTTTATGCAGCAAGTGTGTTCACACTGTGGTGTCCTCTCAGCCAGATGGCTCTCACTTGCTAAACTAGGAACAGTTCAGACGTCCTCAGATTTGCTATTTCCCACCATCATTCTGTCACTGCTTTATGTAAGCCAGGTATCAAAACCAGATGGCTCTGAGATAGAGATTCTTCCTTGTCACTTACTGTGTGGTCACTGTTCTGTTGCTTATAGAAGAGGACATTTAACAAAGGCTTATGGTTTCGGATGGTGAGTTCATGACCACCATGGTTGTGGTCATGGCAGCTGGCAGGCAGAAAGAGACTAAGAATGGCATTGACTTTTGAAACCTCAAAGCCCACCCCTAGGGTCACGCCTCCTCTAGCAAGGCCACACCTCCTAATCCTTCCCAAACAGTTCCACCAACTGCAGAACAAGATTCAGACACATGAATCTATGGGGGCTTTTTAAAAAAATTTTATTTATTTATGTGTATGGGTGTTCCCCTGTGTATGTGCCCACAGAGGTGCCAGAAGAAGGTGTTGGATCCTCTTGGAATTAAGAGTTACAGACAGTGGTTAGCTACCTTGTGGGTGTTGGGAATTGAACCCAAGTCCCTTGGAAGAGCAGCCAGTGTCTTAACCCCAAGCTATCTCTCTCCAGCCCAGGCCTTTCTTATTCAAACCATCACATTGTCTATTGTTTTCCTATGCTGTCACGGTTACTGAGAAGGCATTGTTGGGAGCAAGCACTGGTTCAGGTCCTTGTGTATGTAGATAGTCAGGTTTTTTTTTTTTTATTAGCAACTGATGAGACCCACAATGTGAGCTTGAGCAGAAAAGGAATTTATTAGCTCGTAAAGCTGAAAGCCCAGGGTCAGGACAGCTGCATGCATGGCATTAGCTATTTGTGACACTGATAGGATGTGATTTATTTTGTGTTGCTACTGTTTTCCAGAAGGTTTTGTTGACAAGGTAAGATAGCTAAACTTAGACCTTAAATTTGTGTCTTACATTTTCAACAACTCCATCAGGCTATCTCTTTCCAAATAAGTCTGGTATGATCCCATCTTCCAGTCAATGTTCCTCACCATGGTGATGCTGGGCTCTAGTTGCTCAGGCGTGGGTCACATGTACACCCCCAGTAGAGTCCATTCCTCTTAAACCATTTAGATTGGGGGGCGGGAAAGGCTTTTTGTAGAAATAACACATTCAGAGTTTCCTTGTATATGTGGAAGACTCAGCAAGGGCCTTAGCAGCAAGGACTAGTAAGTGCGTCTTTCCCGTGTCCTCTGGTTCAGTCATTCTGTATGGTGATAAAGTGATGGCATACAATCTTCCTTAGCTTTCAAGAGTCACTTTATAATAATTCCCTCTAAAAAGCCACCACTAAACCCCTGGAGCTGCATCCACACAAAGACCCACATTTGTTACAATTGCCTGTAGACCTGCCTCCCAGATTGTTAGGGGCTGTGTCCTTTCCTCCTGCTCTCTTCTGCCCCCATCAGTAAATGAGAGCTTTAATAAGAATCTATAAAGTGCCTCAGAATTAAGGTGGTTTTCTGCAGATGTAGCAACCTCTATTGTTTCATGACCGGAAGGCTCCATTTAGTCTGATCAGACTTTGAAAACCCTCAATTAGTCCTTTTGAAACTAAACATTATCAGACACTGCCAGTTCAACCCACACTGTATTGCCAGTGTCAGGGAGGGACCGCCAGACACCCTACAAGGAGCTGGTGATGAAGAAGGCAAAAACTGAGCCAGCAGCAAACAATGGTTTGGAGAAGTGAAGCCAGTAAGCTGATTCTCAGGCCTGGAGAGGAGAGGGCTCAGGTAAGTGAGCCATTCTAGCAGATGGGACACTGCAGGCTCCATTCTGAACACGTGAGAGGACTGACGCTGGAGTCTGAGGTTTGAGGCAAGTTCCTTTCTCCCTGGAGGGCCAGCTCCAGAGGCTAGCTTGCTGATTCTAATGCTTCTTCGGGTCCTGTGGCCACTACACAACTCTCCAAGCTGGCAGCATGATTTCCTGCATACTGGTGATGGACGTTTATTTCTAGGGCAGTTTTAGGGTGTTATAAGTCTGTTCTTGAGAGATGGACCTGTTTCCCTCACAGCAAAAATCCAGTTCCTCATGAGCCTTGTGGTCAGATCCTTTATCCAGGATGCACCCCACAAGGTTCAGTATTTCCCCGGAGAAATCCCTACATCTCTTGCCAAGCCACCAGTATAATAAGGTGAATAAACAGGCAGGAATGAACAAGTATTTAGAGGGTTTTTATTTTCAATAATATTTAGTAATAATAGTAACAAAGCTGAAATTTAAAATGTGCTGACTAGGTTTTCTATACATTACATTTACAAAACAACTCTGGTTTTCTGCTCTAAGCACAGTTGCCCAAGGAAAAGAAGAAGCCCTGCCATTGTCTCCCGGGCTCACATCTTCTTCAGGCTAGAGCCCCATGAAAGAGAGACCAATGGATGCAGGGAGTGCTTTCCCCACAACTTTTGTTTTTATTTGAAGCATTTCTGAACAAGTACAAATGAGGGTTGTACACAATAAAAACCTGGGTGGCCATGTCAATTCTGGATTGTTCTTCACTCTGAAACTTTTATTTGCTGTAAAACTATCACAGAGTATAGAACAAAACACACGAACCAAAGGTTTTCTTGTGGGATATACAGTCTGAGAGTAAACCCCATGCATTCCTTCCTCAGATGTAAGAGTCTCTCTTCTGTATCATGGTGTCTCAGTGTACATTTATTTCAGGCCATCTTGATAAGGGCATTTCTTATCTCTTGCAAGCCCTGAAGAAACTTTCATTTAAAAACATTAAAAAAATCAAAAGATCATGATTCAAGGGTTTCAAAGCCTAGTGTCACAGGTAAAGCTTCATTTTCCCGGAAGACAAAATACTCTGTTTTGTCCACTTCCAGTAGCTCGTTAAGAGAAGCCACGACAACGTCATGCTCCTGCAGCATTTCTGGGTATCGGGCCACTGCTCGCTCGATCCTTGCTGAGCGCCTCACAGGAGTGATAAGCTTCATGTCTTGCACTTCCGGCACACCACATATTCTAAAAGAGATCAAATGATGCATTCTAAGCCTTCTCAGCTATGGCAACATTCTGTTTTTATTCCTTGTTTCTTAGTCCATAATAAAGCCAGCACCGGCCTGACCCTACAGCACTGACTTCACGGCAGTTATGTCTTCCTAGGACGGGAGGAGGGGGGGTGTGCATGCAGGAAAGACCCAGCCTTGTCTGTCGATGGTTCTAACATCTATTATCCTCCTTCCCTTTCTGAATGTCCAAGGCTGTGACTTGGGCGTCTTTGCCAGTTGAAGATGGATCCTGGATCTCTTTGCAGCACTGATCCTCATCTCCTTTTCAGTGTCATGAGAGCTCTGTGAGACTAATCACTGACTTAATTAATGTCTTCACCACATCATGGGGCCCCTGATCTAAGGCAGAGGTATCTATAAACTACTATTTCTCTGGATGGGTACAAAGGAAACCAAGAGCTCAACTAGGCTAGGTCTGTCATCAAAAGCCTGCTAGGGTTTGCTTACCTCGGGACTGGGGCGATCTGTAGTTTGATACCAGGGTTATCCCATTCTGCTGCAGTTATCTGTGGTACTGCTATAATCTGTTCCCTTTCTGTTGGAGGAAGGCATGGCTGCCCAGAGTCCTCCTTCTTGGCCAGCTCTTCCACAGATGTGACATCAGTTCCAGTAGCTGATGAGTCTGAGGTGACAGCTGTGTACACAAGGCCAGGAAGGGAAGTAAAAGTTGAGCAATTTAATAATTAAACTAAAAATCAATGAAATAAGAAGGTAACACATACAGTGACTTTCCAGTGATCCCCATGGAGTCTGTACAGTAAATGAAGAGGTATGACTCCAACTGGCATTTATATGTTCTTTTTTTTCTTGCTGTATCTTAAAAATTTTTCTGTGATTGGTGTGTAAAAAATAAATTAATAAATAAAGTAAAAAAAGATTTGAAAAAGTGAAAAAAATATTTTTTTAAAAAACAATCTTTTTTTTAAAGATTTATTTATTTACTATGAATACAACACCCTGCCTCTATGTATGTCTGCACTCCAGGAGAGGGCACCAGATCTTATTATGGATGGTTGTGAGCCACCATGTGGTTGCTGGGAATTGAACTCAGGACCTCTGGAAGAGCAGTCAGTGCTCTTAATCTCTGAGCACCTCTCCAGCCCAAAAAAAAAAAGTTTTTATTCTTTGAAACTTTCATGCATTTATAAAACGTGTATCGATCACATCCACCAATGGCTACTGTCCTCCAGTTCTTCCTAGTGCCCCCCTTTCCTGCCAAGCTCCACTGCAATGCCCTATGACATCAGGCATCTCACTGAGTAACCCTCCAGACACCTTCTGGGCAATTTTACCAATTGAAGATGAATCCTTGATCCCCTTTTACCGTTGACCACATTCTGATCACTTATTCACTCTCATGAGAGCAAATATCTGAGCTACAGTCTTCTTCTGAGCCTACCACTCTGTTCCTCAAATTACTAGCTACTTAGCTGTTACTCCATGACTTCATGGTCCTTAGTTAAATCTCCTCCTCTTTTTCCTCTGCCTCTCTCTGTCTCTGTCTCTGTCTCTGATCCAGGTTGGCCTTGAATCAAGGCAATCCTCAGCCAGGATTACAGGCATAAGCCATCATGGCTACCTTAAATCTATTCTTAAAGGAAAAATATTTTACATCTAGGATAATAACAGCCCATTTTGTTTTCTAAAGATATAGAACATTTTCCCTTTTCACTCATATAATGTCACTGAGCTTGTCACAATTACTCCCATAGATACTTTCTTTAAAGGTTCTGAATAGTGACAGTGACAGCTAAGCAAGGGGAGAGACTCTTGAAAGAATATAAGTTTAGATGAATGACGCTAACTTGGGGATGATTAAACACACAACTTAGACCATGGTATCTCTTTCTTTTATCTCTGTCTCTCTTGATCAATAGTCATTTGTGTTTTCCCTCAGAGGACTCCAGGAAAGCAGGGCACACTAGTCCAGGCTGTTGTGGTGGACAAAACTTTTGTTCAGCATTGGGCATTTATTTACTTGTAATTATAGAAATAAATCAGTGGATGATTATAGCTAAAAAAGCCAGGCCATGAAGACCAAGAGGTGGGACGTGTTTCAGGGACTCATTCCACCAATCTCTTACATGTCTACAGTGATTTTTACTTGCCTATCTTAAGGGAACAAATTCAAATACAAAATAACCATACCCTCTGAGCTTCTGCTTGGATCTTGCGGAATGTTCAGAGCCTCCAGCAGTTCTTGTGTTGGCTGGGAGCAACAAAATAAACAACTTGTATTGAAAGTATTTACGGAAAAAACTGAGCTAAGGAATTTTGCTTAGCACCAAATTAACTTTCTGCAATAAAAATGTTTTCTTTTTAAATTTCATATTCAGATATAAACATGCTTAAAATGATTCGGTTTTAAAGATTCATGAGCAAAATGAAGAAACAGAAAATGCTGATTAGCTGGCATACCCAATTTCATTAAGAGATGTGTTCAACGTGGCTTATAATAAATTTCTCTAAATCAAATTCTCTTTTCCCATTAATTTATATCATATCATTAAAGATGTGTTCCTACATAAAGATTCTGGCTTAAAGATATAAAGCTAACTATAGAGATAGAAAGTGCATCCTGTACTGTTGCTGTCAGTTTAATTCTTGTTTTCAAGATAAAAGGTGTGTAGTAGATTTCAGAAAGCTTGAACCATAGGTTAAACTCAACGAAGACTATTACCCAAAGTCCCATCATGCAGTCTTCTTTTAGCCTTTTCTGTATCTTTCCCTGTCCTCTTCTTTTTCTCCTTTTTTTAGGCAACATATCTTTTTTTTTTTTTTTTTTTTTTTTTGAGACAGGGTTTCTCTGTATTGTTTTGGAGGCTGTCCTGGAACTCACTCTGTAGACCAGGCTGTCCTCGAACTCACAGAGATCCGCCTGCCTCGGCCTCCTGAGTGCTGGGAATAAAGGTGTGCGCCACCAACGCCCGGCCCTAGGCAACATATCTTAAACAGGAGGACAAATTAACCAAGCAAAGGAAAAGAAAAAAACTCCATTGCACAGAAAAGCATGCAAACCACATCACAGAGTATACTACAAAGTTAACTGCTGTTTGTTCCTGGGAATATTTTATTTGGAATTTTTTTCCTGACTTCATACTCTGTATCAAATTAATAATACACTAGAGGGGGGGAGAAAGAGGGAGGAGAGACAGAGACAGAGAGAAAAAGAGAGAGAGGGAGGGAGGGGGAGAGAGAGAGAGAGAGAGAGAGAGAGAGAGAGAGAGAGAGAGAGAGAGAGAGAGAGAAAACAGAGAGAGAGACAGAGACAGAGACAGAGAGAGAGAAAACAGAGAGAGAGACAGAGACAGAGACAGAGAGAAGGAACTGACCAAGCATGGTAGCATACACCTTTAATTCTAGCACTCTGGAGGTAAAAGCAGGCACATCTTTGAGTTCCAGACCAGCCTGGTCTACACAGTAAGTTCCAGGCCAGCCTGGTATACATAGTGAGACCATACATTTGTCTCAACAAAACAAAACAAACCCACTTCAACAAAACAACAAACAAACAAAACCCAAAGCAAAGAACAAAGCCAACCAACCAAGTTACGCTGAAAAGTTTCTGAAGTGCGGACTACACATACATGCTGTAATGAATCTGCACTATAAAATACTTAGATCAAGCATATTTTGTTATTAACTTTTTTAAAGACAAGGTATTACTCTGTAGTCTAACCTAAGTCAGGTTATGTAGACCAGGCTAGTCTTAAACTCATGGCAATTTTCCTGCCTCAGTCTCCCAACTGTTGGCATTACAGGGGTAAGCCCCACTTCATGAAGCATTTTGCATTTATATAGACTTCTGTTAAAAATGGTAGAACCTCCCTAGATAATTTGACAGCTGAAGGGGAAAGACCTGAAGATATCGATACCGAGGGTTCTCTAACCGACCAGTGCAGCCAGCCAGGTCACCCTACTGTGAAGCCCACACATGTGGCCAGAGTTTGTGTGTATATGTGTGCATGCACATTCAGTATGTATGTATATGTGTGCACATGTATGTGTTACAGCCTCTGTCATTCCTCAAGAACCATCCACCATGTTTTCTGAGACGGCATCTTTCACTAAGATCTGGGAGTCACCTGTTAGGCTAGGCTAGCCAGTCAGAAAGTTCTAGGGATCCACCTGCCTCTGCCTCACCCATGCTGGGAGTATAAGCGTGTGCCACCATGACTGGCTACTGTATGTGTGTGCTAGGGATCAAGCTTAGTTCTTTACGCTTGTTCAGCAGGTACTTTATAGAATGAGGTATCTCCCCAGTCTCCACAGCTTTTTTTTTTTTTTTTTTTTTGGTTTTTCGAGGCAGGGTTTCTCTGTATTGTTTTGGAGGCTTTCCTGGAACTTGCTTTGTAGACCAGGATGGCCTCGAACTCACAGAGATCCGCCTGTCTCTGCCTCCCGAGTGCTGGGATTAAAGGCGTGCGCCACCAACGCCCGGCCTCCACAGCTTTTAATACACGTTTCAAATCTACCTGTGTACACACACACACACACCAATTTCACCAGTATCTGAATAAGTCCTTCAGTGAGTAATGGAGAATAAAACAACAGTAAGACTAGGGAAGAGCACTAGAGAAGAAGAAACAAACAATGCAGGAAAGAAGGGATATACCCTACTCAGTGATGGGGATGTCTTCTGTACATATGCTTCTCTTATTGGTCAATGAATAAAACACTGTGGCCAACAGGGCAACAAGATAAGCAGGTCTAGGAGATGAGGAGGATTCTGGGATGTGCAGGTAGAGAGCAGACACCATGTAGGACACCAGAGAAGTAACAGATCCCCAGACCTTTCTCCGGTAAGATAAGACCACGGGGAAATACTTAGATTAATAGAAATGGGTTAGTAAATAAGACAGAGTTAGCCAATAAGAAGCCCTAGTCAATGGCTAACAGTATTATCATTAATATAAGTCTCTGAGTGTTCATTTGGGGCTAACGTGGTTGTGGGGCTGGACTGGCAGGAAAGAGTTCTATAACAACTCAGGAAGAGTGTCTGTTAGTGATGGAGAACAAACCCAGAAGGACAGCTGGTGCAGACAGGAACTGAGAGTTACCTGACCAACCTGGAATAAACTAGAGGGGCTCTAAGAAAAATAAACCAATATATTATCTGAAGCCTTGACATTGTTCAGAAAATTCAAAATTATGAAAATTAGTTACATAATAAATACTGCATGTTTGTATGTGTTCAATTTTGAAATTATAGACAGTTGGGAGCTGCCATGTGGTGGCTGGGAATTGAACCCCGGTCCTATGGAAGAGCAGTCAGGGCTCTTAATGGATGAGCCATCTCTTCAGCCCTGCCATATATTTCTTACATATGAGAAACAATATGGACACTAAATAGACAATATGGATGCTAAATTTCCATATGGCGCTAGTGAAAGCATAGCATATGGCAAAGGTCCACAAGGACAGACAGGGCTGTTGACATGAGCGTAAAAGGCAGGGGACATGGGACGAACTGTGTAAAAGAAGGTTAAAGCTATGTCCTCATCTGCAAGTTCACAAATTATGGCTAAAAGTGAAATCAGCAACATAAGCATGTTTTCTGAAATCACAGAGGTAAAAATGGAATCAGTTTGCTTTGGGAAATAGAAAATATGAAGGGGGAAGGGGGGAGGAAAAGACTGGGTGAAACTGACCAAACTGTGTAGATGTACAACTCTGTGAACAGTCGTGGAAATGGGCACTACAGGATGGGAGTAAGGGAGGAGAATGACATTTAAGTGAAAAGAGTTATATGAGGTTATTTGATATAGTCTTTGTTATATGCATTTGCCAGTGGTAGTTTCTGTTTGCTTTTAGAATTAGTAAGCTACCTTATGTAAGGACTCTGGATATTGAACTTAATGTAATTTAAGTTCTTTCTAGCTATTTGATCTTGATACTATTCTTTATTTTTTTAAGATTTATTTATTTATTATGTATACAGTGTTCTGCCTGCATGTATCCTTGCAGGACACAAGAGGGCACCAGATCTCATTACAGATGGTTGTGAGCCACCATGTGGTTTCTAGGAATTGTGCTCAGGACCTCTGGAAAAGCAGCCAGTGGCTCTTAACTGCTGAGCCATCTCTCCAGTCCATCTTGATACCATTCTAACTTTTCATTGTTACTTCCCAAAACTGTTTATTTCTCTACTTAGTGTTAAATGAGATATGGTACTTGACAAGAAAACCAAAATTCTATGGGTGTAAGTATAACCCTACAGTCTAAGAAATAATTTAATGTGTACATTGAGATAACATTCTACTTCAGACTTTGTGACTGCCTTATGATGAGAAGTAGGTTTTTATCAATATGTATTAATTATACAAAACAATGGGTTTCAGGTTTCACTGTGACATCACCACATGTGCATATAATGTACCTCGATCATATTTACCCTATTACTCTCTCTCACCCCTATGAATGGAAGCTTAACACTGCATTATGGAATCATCTTATTGCAAATAACAAAAGAACCACATGAAAGAGAATTTTAAGTCACCCCCGCCAGGACAGATACTTACTGCTGCCCCATTTTTAATGGCCTCTTCATAAAGTCCAATAGCATCAAAGGTGCCTTTACTTGCCAGTAACTTTGCTTTGCAGACCCAGAACTTGGAAAATTTTTCAGCCTCCGGAATGCTGGACAGGATATTAAATATTTCATTAGGAAATACACCCTGGAAAAGGAAATATAAGATATAATTATTATGACTTTAGTCCATTGTTAACGTATCTTTGAAGGTATGATCACTAATCCACATTTTAAGTATACATTTCAATAACTTTTTTTTTGTTTGTCTTTTTGAGACATGGTCTCTCCATGTAGCTTTGTAGACCAGGCTGGCCTTGAACTCACAGAGATCCCCCTGTCTCTGCCTCCCAAGTACTGTGAATAAAGGTGTGTGCTACCACTGCCCAGCTAATAACTATTAACACTAACTTTTACATTTAAGGCAGAATAGATAGAAAAACATTTACCACAGCATAAGGTAAAGAATAGGTTCAATATTTTTAGGGGATGAAAGACCCAAACAGAATCGAGACGTAGAGTAATAAGTACTTCTTACAAACTAAAAATATTCAAAATACACATCTTCACAGTAGTGTGAACAGTGAGTCAAGGCTTGACTTTGCATGTGACTAACCTCAACATTCATGAAGAGCAGCAGAGTATGTATGTGTGCGTGTGGGTGTACTGGGGATTCATGCTGGTAGATCCCACACAAAGGTCACGTCTATTGCTTACTAATTTCAACATCAATATAAAAGAATTTCTTGAAGGTTGAGAACAAAGTTGAACACACACTCAAGAAAAAAAATTAATAGACAGATTCATAACTTTTACCCTGAAGGTTCTTGGAGAACTAATTGGCATCTGTGCATATATGTAAGCATGTATGTACATGTATGTAGAAAAGCAAGGATAAAAATATAACTTGAAAAGCATCTAGAGAGGATGGAGAAATAAGGGATTACTTATGAGGAATGAGGCTCAGATGGACAAGACTCAATAACTTAATAATTACCAGATGCAAGGAAGAAAATAAAGCAGGAACTTCAACATTTTTAGAGAAAATAATTTGTAGTTAGAAATTCTCCCCAAACTATGAACAAAGTATGAGGGCAAAATAATGGCACTTTTCTAAGCATGACAGCTCAAGGTTTGCAAGTGTCATTAGCAAACATGTTTGAATTTAAGTCTGCTATGTTATTTTGTTTCACTAATTTATAGCTTTCTTTATGAAACATGAAAATGATATTAAATACAGAAATGAAAGAACATGAACACAGGAGAATCCTGTAAGTAGAATTATAAAGTCAAGTGTCTGGAGTAAGTTTGAATACACAAGTGATCACTAACTGTGGAAGGTAAGATTGGCTGTTTAGAGCAGTGTTTCAGTTTGTATTCATCTGTGATATGTCCCTAAAATATGCCAGCCAAGGGACTTAAAACTAGAGATGAAAAAAGAGCTCACAGAACTCTAACAACAACAACAACAACAATGAAAAAAACCCCAAACAACCCGGATTTGGCAAAACTAATATCAGAGAATCAAAGCAGGTCATGAATCTATGTAACAACAAATAGAAAAATAAAGACAGCAAAGGTGACAAATGTAAGTAGAAACTGTCAGTAACTAGTCATTCTAGAACAACTCTGGAAAATTCTTTCAGAAAGGAACACAGTGGGTAACAAATAGAGAACATTATTTTAAACACTTTTGAAATGTTTACCAAAAATGATCAGTCATTAAAACAGCCAAGAGACTTTCAATAAATTACATTAAGTACAATCCAGAGATGGCCACTTTACCAACCACAGTACAGTTAGAAACTAACAAGAAAAAGCCATTGCGAGTATGAAATGCAAAGATAACTTCTAAGATACGTTTTGAGTTAAAGAACTCCAAATAGAACTCTCAGTATTTCGGAACAAATGAAAAGCAATGCAAACACATGGGGTGTCAGCCAGCTACTCAGTGAACTACTTTTGTGCTGTGTCTTGATGCGGGGCTGGAACCCTGTAGAACTTTCTGCCTGACAGTGGCTCTTGCTGGGCCCTGCTACATAGGAGAATAGAGGGAGACTGCCAAGTGGAGGATGGAGTCTTTCCATTTGCTTCTGTCACCCTAGTCCCTCACCAGGACAGCAGCTGGTTCCAGCCACTCCCCACTCCTTATGTCCACTTTTATTCCACTGAGCTCCTTCAGAGGTAGGAGCACCATGGGGTAGTAGTCATTCCTCAAGGTTGAGCCCCAGGCCTACAGGCTTCCTCCTCTTGTCCTTAAAACACTAGCAATTGTTGGTTGGTACACCCTAGTGGAAGTTGGGAAGTTTTCTCCCAAGTTCACCTCTTCCAGTGTGATACTGTGAATTACATATGGAGACTTCCTCCATTTTCTGGCATTTAACTCCTGAAATCCTTGGACTCTCCAAAGTCTTTTGCACGGAAATGAATTAATCAATGACTGGCAGTTCCTAGGTAGCCTCAGGATGGTGGCTGGTCCCAGGACAGGAGGCAAACAGAATCACAGGGGTGGGGGCTTCAGTCCTATCCCCAGCCTCTGCAGAGGGATTGAAGCGCAAGCTGATCACTAATGGCCTAATATAGGGCAAGGTAGTCAATGATGCATGTGTAATGAAGTCTCTATAAAATCCAAAACCAGACAGAGCTCAGGAAAATTCTGGATAGAACAAATGAGGATTTCTGTAAGGTCGTGTACTGTAGAAAGGCATTCTGTTACTGTGATATGACCTTGGATGATAAGAGCATTAAATATGACAGATATTAGAAGGTAAAAGTTAGGAGGCAAATTTATAGCATTTATCATATTTGTAGGAAACTAAGATTGATTAAGCTGTCTAAGCTTTTAACTAGAAGGTAAGAATAACAATTGACAGGATAGGTATAGATACTGACAAATGATAAAAACAATTACTGGACTCCAAAAGATTTTTGCAACCTTTAAATAGATCAAAGAAATCTTCAGCAGTCTGGGCTCCCCCCTTTAGCTTTTTGATAGGGTTCCTTATGTATTTGAGACTGGCTATGAATTCCTATGTTTATTCAAAGCTTGTTTACAGGTGGGGACACAGGAGGTAGGGTTCAGTAGTTAAGTGTTGTGCTGCACATAGAAGGACATTGCCCAACAGCCAGAAATCTACCAAAGGCTAGGACCGGTAGTCCATGCTTGCAATCCCAGCACCAGGGAGGTGGATACAAGCAGATCCCTGGGGCTCACTCGCCAGTCAGCCTCCAGCCTGGCCTACTGTGGAGTTCTACAACAAACCCACACCAAACCAAAACAATTCCTACCCTCAAAACAGGGAAGACGGTGCCTGAGGAATAATAATGAGACTGTCCTTCGGTTTTCACATGAATGTGTACATAAGTGTACCTACCCCCATCCCACACATAAAATAATGCATCCATGTATATTTTAATGAAAATAAGAGAGCAAATCAAGTAAACAAAGACCCCTGAATTTTAATTCCATAAAGGAGAAACAGCTAATGTTTACTGCAGTGAGAAATATTAAAACAATGGTTCCCCTGCTGTTCCCCCAAGTCTAACACCACCAGAACACACTGACTTTTACTTTTTCACTCTCTACCAAGAGATTAAACATATCAATTTTTATTAATGCATTTTCATTAAGGCAATTGCTTAAATCTCTGACCCTTTGTCTACTTTATCCTGATCTGTAGACTCCAACACACAATTCAGATACTATTTTTAGCTACCAAAAGTACCTAGGGGTGCTGGAGAGATGGTTCAGTGGTTAACAGAACTAGCTGCTTTTCTAGAGGACCAGGGTTTGATTCCCAGCACCCATATGGTGTTTGGCAACCATTTGTGATTCCAGTTCCAGGGGATTTGATGCCCTCTCCTGGCCTCCATGGACAGTGCATGCATGGGATGCAGCTATACATGCAAAGCACCCACACAAATAAAATAAAAACACATCTTAAACTAGCTCCCAACTAAAACTATTTAGGAAATTTCAATTTGAAAAAAGCCTTGCATGTTGACTTAAGATTTCAATATGAATGTTGTGTACTCTTTGGACCCTGCCATCTGGGGAAAGCTCCCTTTGGAGCCAAATGGTTTAGGTTGGTTTTCTACCATTTCTTTCTTTTTTTTCTTTTTTGGTTTTTCGAGACATGGTTTCTCTGTATTGTTTTGGAGGCTGTCCTGGAACTCACTCTGTAGACCAGGCTGACCTCGAACTCACAGAGATCTGCCTGCCTCTGCCTCCCGAGTGCTGGGATTAAAGGCGTGCGCCACCAATGCCTGGTTAGTTTCCTACCATTTCTGAGCTGCCGTTTACGTGCATTCATCAGTCTTACTGCTGCTGCTATCGCTATTCTTCTACATCTGGAAGAGTGGCTGGATTTCTGCTGAGGTGAAGGCTATTTCCTCCGCTCTAGGAGAAATTTTTAAGCACTAGGATGGATTGCAGGTCAGAGTTGGGTAGTTTTGTCCTGTCACTCACCTCTTCAATGAGCCTCAGACACTCGGTCAGAGTGTTGTTGATTTTACTGGACAGCTCTAGCTGAGCTTTCTTCTCTTCCTGTTCTTCCTCTTCTCTCTCAATGCTCTTCCAGAATGAAATGTTCATTTCCTCTATGATTTTTCTTTTCGCTTTCAATTTCATGGGAGGACGCTTATAGGTTTTCCCTTTAGATTTCTGCCATTCTTCCAGTTGTTTCCTGCAATGTGATGGGAGGGGTTAGTCCTTTCCCTCTTTCCTTCTTAACCTATCTGTTTCTAAAACAGATGACAAGCAAAGACTGGGTGTAGCTAAACTTTTTACCGTAGACAAGGTCAGGAGGACAGAATGAAGAACAATCTACTATGGGCAATGCCACTTAGAACTGGTAGGATTACAGAGGACTGGCTGGCAGAGACTGGGTATAACGAAAACCTTCCACCGTAGACAAGGTCAGGAGGACAGAATGAAGAACAATCTACAATGAACAATACCACACAGGGCTGACTACGCCACTTAGAACTGGTAGGATTACAGAGGACTGACTGGCACTTTGGTTTTTAAGTACTTGACTTCTGATTACGTTTCACTATTTTTCTCTAAGTCTTCATTTCCTGGTGTGCTGTCTTGGATGTCACCTGTCCTTAAGACCTCAGCACTCTACCCGAAGCTTCTGGCCACCCTGACCCACCAAACCTTCATTCTGTCTTCAACAGCATCTTAGTGCTCATAGCAACCCACTCACTTCACCCCAGTCCCTTCCTCAGTGCTCTGACCACACCCCAGTCCCTTTCTTCACTAATCACTAATCCCAGGTTCTCTTCTCCTTAAGTAATTGGTCTCTGACAGTGCCAGGCCCAGTGCTGGCTTTCTACCACTGCTCATACTCTCTCCACTCCTACTTCTAAGCAAAAAGACTATCGTTTTGGAGGGCAGCGGATGGATGTGGACACCAAGTGCTTAGACATAGGCTGGCTAGCTTTGTTACATCACAACTGTGTATCAATGACCAGAAAATGCCCATTTCAGATTTCAGATCACGCCATGGAGCCCACACCATGTAAAGCCCACTGACTCATTTGGTCCTTTATTTATTGTCTAGCAGGCATTTCAGCTCAATATGGTATTTACCTCCAGATCCCTTCCTAATTCCCCTTACTTTGATAAACAGTAGGCCCTCAACTCAGGAGACACCTTTGAGGAGTTGCTTTTCCTTATGTCTGCCGCTTCACTGTACAGATTCAGTATTGGCTCTGTCCACATGACCACCATGCCAACCCACACACACCCACGCCACCTTCTGTGAAATGTGAAGCAACTGCTCTAACCCTTGCTAACTCTCTGCCCATAATATCCATCAGTAGAATGTAAAGTAGACTGTGCCAACTTCCCATTGCTCTTGAAATAAAATTAGCCATGTTTTCTATGTCTGTCCTGCCACCCTTTCCAATTCCACATCACAGCCCTCTCCTCACTACCCTCAGGGAGCTCTGGCTCTTTCAGTTTCCTGATCCAGGCTCAGGGTTTGCATCTTCTGTACTCTGTTCAAATGATCCTTACTTGAAGAGTAATGATCTACAATTATCTTGTTTTATTTAATCAGCCTGCTCATACTGTCTTCTCCACTAGGACACAAACTCTCTGAAGGCAGAACTGAATGTCCAGTGCCTAGCACACACAAGATTTCAATGACAGTACAGTAAAACTCACCTTTTTGAAGTGTGTGATTATGTGGGTATAAATACACAAGACCACTTGACTGTACTTATAATCAAGATATAACACAGGTCCAAATCTCTTCAGAGTGAAGCTTACTTCAACTTTCCAGTCCCTGAGGACCACTGACCTGCTTTTTGTCTCTATGGCTTTATCTTTTTCAGAATTCAATAATTATAAATAAATGCAAGTTACTGTCATTTTCCTCTGACTCTATCTAGAAGCGATCTTACAATCTGTTCCATGCTGACAAAGCTGACACATGATATGTGTTTCATCCAGTCCCTACCATTCTTCCTATCTCCATAGTCTCCTTCTAGTCATAATGAAGAGAACTTCCTGTACTCCCAGGACTTCAATGCCATGGTCAGCTTCTCTCAAGGTCCCATATATACTCCACACTGTAAGTTCTCTAAGGGTAGAGGCGGTGGCGGCCTTCCTTCCCCACCTGAGCCTGGCACAATGCAGGCGATGGGGGAAACACACATCATTAGTGGATGGATCGGACCCTTTCCACAGACTCTATTCCTCCTGTAACCAGACACTCTCAACATGCCACACACTGTCAATGCGGCAAAGATGTGACCCAGGCTGGGAGTTCTAGAGCAGACGCCAACCTGTCACTCACCACTCTGTTTCTGCAGTCTTTTTTCACCTGAGACGTCAATGACAGAAGTACTTCCTCAAGCCTCCTACTTAATCAACCACCCTGGCCCTACCCTCTCAACCACACCACCAAACATTAACTTTCTTTGTAAGAAGAAGGAAGGCTGTTCCCAGACCAAATCCCGTACTTGCTCCCACTCTGTGGCGACTTTTAGCACTGTCTAATTTTACCTGTCTCTTTCACTCTTGTCAGCAGCCTATGTTCTACTCCACCAGGTACACACAAGTGCATTCTAAGGAGGCTCATTTGCATTCTGGGACGGGGACTGGTCTTGGGCAGACAAAACCCTTTGGCTCACCTTCAAGTACCATGTACAACACTGAGCTCTGGCAGCCTGGGGCCCCAATTTTTAACACTTGCACACCGCATCTGACCAGGGCTCCTGGTTCAGCTTACCTTCCCCAGCCTGGGCTACTAATGTTCATAGAAGCTTCCGTTTCTTCTCTGCTAACTGCCAAACTTAGTCACTGATTGTTTCCTTCCTAGCTGTGTGAACTTATTGCTCTGGCCCCTTTCAGCCTGTCTTTAGGCTCTGCAGGACACTTCTTGGGTAACTAATCTCTATCAGCAGCTCCACTTCCACTTTACAAAACAACTTTATAGACAATTACAGAGAAGGATTTATAAAATATTTGTGGATCACCTAGTTTTGTTAAGTGTTATGTTTACTATAGCATCATATCTTTTCAGGCTCCAGCTAGATATCCCATAGGAGCTATTTCTCAAATAAGTGTATACATATATGTACATATAAAAATGTGTCTATCTGTTGGTGGTGCTGGGGCTTAAATTTAGGGCCTCATACATGCTAGGTAAGTGCTTTATCACTGAGCTACAGTCCCAACCCCAGCCATTATCAGTTTGCCTAGAAATCTTAAGTTACAGAATCTTGGATTTAAAGCAAAGTACCTCCGATCCTCTACGTCTGTCTTTTTAACACGTGGATGAGTCTGGCTAGCACTTGGGGCTCCTTTCCTTCTCATGGTTGCTGTGCCAGCTTGAGTTTTGGGAGCAGTCTTGTTCAGAAACTGGCTCTGGGGAAGAAGCTTTTTGAACTTGAAGTCCAGAGTCTGTGCTTTTTGTTGGAAGATGTTACTGCTTTTATTGTTCTGGGTTTTACTTGCTCTTATGCTAGGGGTGCTTAGAATAACCTTGCCAGCTGTCAAGTTAGGCCTCTGGCTTACAGCTCTTGAATTGTGCAGAATGTGTGATGTCCGGGGTCCAAGACAGGGCTGCACAGTCTTTTGATCCTGCTTGAAGGCTGGATTTCTGTTGCTCTGTCCTCCCTGACAACAGCTGGGGTGGGAGCCAGATTTAGTATGTTTTACTTTCTGTTCAGTGGCAGGGTGTGACTGTATCGTAGTTTCATTTGGTCTTCCACATTTAATCCTGTCAACCTTTATGTCCTGTGTGTCATTGACCACTGGTTTCTTTGATGTCTGAGTCTTACTATGGGCAGGAATGAAGTGAGAGGGAACTCTTTGCGGGGGTTTTTCTCTGGGTCGTGCTGAATCTGTGTCTGTAGAGAGGTGCTGCGACTTCACTGGTTGAGTGCTGACTTGTGTGTTTCTAACAAACTGTTTGTTAGCTCTGTCTTTCAGAACAGTACGGTTAACTGAACTTTTGCTCAAGATTTGTTTAGGAGCCAGACTTTTCTGGGTTTGGTTATAGGAGCCAGTGTTTGGCTTACTTATGGGGCATAAGTCAGGAACCGGCTTCCCAGGTTCTAGCAAGGTTTGGGGCAAGTTCTCTTTGTTGACCTCGTGTAGAAAGCCCTTCAAAGATTGGTTTCCGACATGGGTCCCAGCCACAGGATTGGTGCGCTCAGCATTTCCTTGATGTGTTTGCTGCTGCTTTTTGGAATCCAATTTCTGTGTACCAGGGGACTGCCTGGGTTTTCTTGACAGTCCTGTAGTGGATGACGCAGCTCTGTACTGCTGCAGACTCTTGCTGGACTGTTTACAGTCTGAGTTAGAAGAAAAACATCTTGAAGTGAGCCCTTTGCCTTGAAGTTTTGGTGGCTCCAGCTCTGGTTTCTGGGATGCTGTGATATTAGCTGGTTTACTCTGGAGTTTAACATTGATGGGCCTTGTAGTTTTGATAGGCAAAACAACATGACTGGAAACATCTTTTTTGGGCCCAGGAGTCTGAAAACACAAAGAAAAAATATATTTAAAAACTTACTTTTTATTTTTATACTAATCATCAATTAATTCATTAATCTTTTTATTTTTGCTTTTTGAGACAGGGCTTCACTGTGTAGCCTGGTTGTCCTGGGACTCACTCTGTAGACCAGGCTAGCCTCCAACTCACAGAGATCCACCTGCCTCTGCCTCCCAAGTGCTGGGATTAAAGGCGTGCGCCACCAACGCCCGGCCAATCAGTATTTTTTTAATGCCTATTATGTTTCAATAAAGAGCCGGGTGGTGGTGGCGCATGCCTTTAATCCCAGCACTCGAGAGGCAGAGGCAGGCGGATCTCTGTGAGTTCGAGGCCAGCCTGGTCTACAGAGCTAGTTCCAGAACAGCCTCCAAAGCCACAGAGAAACCCTGTCTCGAAAAACCAAAAAAAAAAAAAAAAAAAAAAAAAAAAAAAAGAATATGCCTAACCTGCCCCGACAGATATACCATCGAATTGTAACACAACAACTTGTGGTAGGTTAGTGTCGTGGGATGTTTGTACAAGGTGAAGAAGTATTGCTGTGACTGGTGTAATAAAAAGTTGAGTGGCCAATAGCCAGGCGGCAGGCGACATGGAGAAGAGACAGGAGGCGGGAGATGGAAAAGAGGTGATGCCAAGTGACAAATGTAGATTAATACAAAAGTTATAAGAGCTACGTAGGAACACGTCTAAGCTTATAGGCCAAGCTTTCATAATTAGTAAGAAGTTTCCATGCCATTATTTGTCTTATTTTGGTTTTTTTGAAACAGGGTTTCTCTGTGTAACAGCTCTGGCTATTGTCTTGGAATTAGCTCTGTAGACCAGGCTGGCCTCGAACTCACAGAAATCTGCCTGCCTCTGGTTCCCAAGTGCTGGGATTAAAGGCATGTGCCACTACTGCCCAGCTAGTTAGTTCAGTTTTGCCTTATTTTGTTAATATTTTTAGAGTGAGAGAAAGGGTAAAGATTTGGATTGGAAGATCTGGTAGGAGTTGAGGTAGAAAAATTGTAATCAGAATATATTGTTTGAAAAAAACTATTTTCAATAGGAGAAAAAAATTCTATCTTTCCCTCCTTAAATAACAGTTTCAAGATTCACTCATGTTGTACCACATATTAGCACTTTACTACTTTTGTTCTGAAAGAGTCTTGTGTAGCCCAGGCTACCCTTGAACTTGATATGTAGTCAAGGATGAGTTTACACCATTAATCCTCCCACCTCCTCCAGAGTGTTAGGATTACAGGCATGTGCTATCAGACCTAACTTATTTGATGCTGGAGTCAAACTACAAGCTTCATGCATGCTGAGCAGGCAATCCACCAACTGAGCCATTCCTCCATCCCTGTTAAAATAAAAAAACACAAAAAGCTTCTTTTTAGAGAAGTTTTATGCTCTTAGAAAAAAAAATGAGCATGAAGGACAGATGGTTCTCCTCAATCTTGTTTTCAAATATGCCCTTCATTACTTGCTTAGAGTTGAATAACACTACATTGTGTGGTTATATATATTCATTCATTAGTTAATGACTGTTTGGGTTGCTTCCCCATTTGGGGGTTATAAACACTGTTATTATGAATATTTGTATACAGTTTTTGTATGAGCATATATTTTCAATTTATCTACAGAATTCCAGAGTCATTTGGTAAATCTATGCTTATGTTTTAGGAAACTGTAAAAGCTTTCTCTAAAATAGTTACATTGGGTTATGTTTGTATCTACAATGTATGAAGGTTCCAGTTTTTCCACATCCCCCAAAACTATCTGATTTAAATGTAGCTACTCTAGTAAGTATGATGCAATACCTCACTGTTTTTGGGGCATGCATGTGTTCATGTTTTACTGGGGATTGAACCCAGAGCCTGAAGCACACTAGGTAGGCATTTTTTTATTAATCTGTATCCTCAAACTTATTTTTACCTTTTTTTTTTTTTTTTTTTTTTTTGGTTTTTTGAGACAGGGTTTCTCTGTGGCTTTGGAGGCTGTCCTGGAACTCGCTCTGTAGACCAGGCTGGCCTCGAACTCACAGAGATCCGCCTGCCTCTGCCTCCCGAGTGCTGGGATTAAAGGCGTGCACCACCAACGCCCGGCTATTTTTACTTTTTATTTTGAGGCAGTCTTACTGAATTGCTCAGTCTGGCCTTGAATTTTAAATCTCCTGCTTTTAGCCTCCTTAGATCTGGGATTATCAGCCAGTCCTACCAGGCCTGACCCTCACTATCATTTTGATTTGCATTTTCCTGATGGCTAACGATACTGAATATTTCTTCTTATCCTCAACATCTTTGAGAAATGTCTACTCAGACTCTGCTCATTTCAAAATTGAGTCATTTGTCTTTTAATTGTTTGAACTGTAAGAGTCACAGATCCTGGATACTAGATCTTCTTAAGATATGTGACTTGCAAATGTTTCTTTTGGACATTTTTCAGATTTTAACTTTAGATTGACCAGACCTGACTAAACTATTACAAGTTGTAGAACTGGTCACTTGGTTTCAAGTCCTCCAGTGAGAGAGAAATTCTTTACTCAGAATAGGACATTAGAATCGAGAGAGAGATCTTAGAGATAAATCCAACTCCGTCATCTGGTAGAGAAAGTGAGCTGTCCAAGGCTAGGCACAGAGAGGGTGCTGGAAGCTGGGTTAGGGTTGGAATTTCTGTTTCTGACTCTAGATTCCTTTAAACCATCTCAGAACTGACAGATAAAGGTGAAAAACAAAACAATGCATGTACAAGAAGGAATAATTGCTTTACGCTAAATTTACTTTCACTCACTCTGTGCATCTGAAATGGGAGAAAACTCACAGAGGATGTAAGAAAGGCTTGAATCAAGAGAGATTTATTCAAAGTTTACTAGAAAAGACACCGTGCTAAACTATGCTAGGAGATGTAAAGATGGGATCACACTTGATTCTGAGGACCCTTAGCGGAAAAGACAAGCACATAAAAACAATGATACATTGAACAGGGGCCATGATAGGGCTGGAAAAGACATTAAAGCATATCTTTCAGTGGTTTTATACATTCCCAGAATAATTTCTAAAAACTGAGTATATTCTTTAAGTAGCCCATGTACTCAATATAATTTATTACCAGAATAAAATAGGATTTGACTCTTACTGGGTGTATAATTTGGCCATGATATAATCTCTTTGAATCCCATTTCTCACATATAAATGCACAACAGTAACATTAGCAGTCATATCAAGTTTTTCTAGGACAGGGTAGTGGTTTGAAAGAAAATGACCCCCAAAGAGAGTGACACTATTAGTAGGTATGGCCTTGTTGGAGGTAGTGTGTCACTGTGGAGGTGGGCTGTGCGGTCTTATATATACTCAAACCACAACAGTGTCTCAGGTCACTTCCTGTTGCCTGCAAGTCAACATGTAGGATGCTCAGCTGCTTCTCCAGGACCACATCTGCCCACATGCCATGTCACACCAAGATGATAATAGACTAAACTTCTGAAAATGCAAGCTACCCCAATTAAATGTTTTCCTTTATAAGAGTTGCCACGGTCATTATCTCTTCACAGCAATAAAAATCCTAATTAAGACAGATGGGTATCCTATATCCTTGAGTTTCACAAGATATTTTGACTTAGGCTTCTTGGTCCAGCACACACACACACACACACACACACACAGACACACACACACACACACGAGTCACCTAAATAGAGGAGAATAAACCTACGCTAAGCAAGAGAGAGAAAGGGTTCTGGGTTGAATGTTAAATTACACAAGTAAACTCCTCATAGGTTATTTACTTACATATTTGGAAGATGGTGGTTTGGGGCAGTTATACTTGGCTTTTAGATAAGGCCTATGAAAGATGAAAAATAAAATTAATCCTTGGTACAGAAGAATCAGGAAAGCTAGGAAAGAACAGTGATCAGAACACTATGACTAAGTTTTTAAACAATAGAATTTCTGTATAGGGTAAAAATCAATCAAAATTACTATTTAGTAAGACATATCCTTACTTTCCCTTTTTGGTCCTGTATTCCCCTCCCCAAGGACCACAACCGCTCTTACCAATTTCTTTTGTGACTTTACTTTTAAAGGTTATCCCACGTACAAATGTAGCATTCCAATAACATTAATGAAATATATGTAGCCTCTTCATAGTTACAGTCTTATGCGAGCATCAGTTCTTGAATATTGAGGGTCAACATGAGAAAGAAGATGGTCAACTATTTTATTAAAAAACTTCCTTGCTCTATATACCTTTAGTGTTTTTCAGAGGGGAAAGGGATTTGTATATAATCAAGTCTCCACATCATGGGTTTCACATTTATGATTTTAACTAATTTTTGATTAAAAAAATGTGAAAGACAAAACTGCATTCATACCGAACATGTAGACTTTCCCTTCTTATTATTCTCTAAACCAAACTATTTCCATTGTACTGGGAATCAAAAATAACTCGCAGATGATTTCAAGTCTATAAAAGGATATGCATAGGTTACAAATAAACATTACAGCATTTCATGTAAGGGAGTGGAACATCTTCAGATTCAGGTACTTGTGAGGATGGTACAGGAAGTTGAAGTCTGGCCAGTGAAACAAAAGATAGAACAGAGAGGAACTGAGAAGGACTCAAATTCCATGGACCAAACCCAAGACGAACAGAGGCTGACGAGCATGAGCCATGGAGGGCAGGGATTGCCTTAGTAAGTTCTGCATCTTTCTTCCTTGAGTGATTGACAGGCCTGGGGAATGTATGTCAGTGATGGAGTGCTTGTTGTATAGCATGTGACAGGCCTGGGAGACAGTGGGAGAGCCTGTCTTGAGGGAATAGGGGAAGAGCGATAGAGCAGACACCCCCTTCCGGTATGTGCACGTGCATGTGCGCGCGCACACACAGAGGAGTCACTTAAATAGAGGAAAATACACCTACGCTAAGCAAGAGAGAGAAATAATAGGACTAAATGATACATGCCAACAAGAGGAAAGGGTAAAGGGGTTATGTTCTGTCCACCTCAAATATAGGCCAAGAGGACATCACTAAGTTGGAGGATGTTGGAGCACCACTATTGTGGACCAACTATAACCAACGCTCCTGCTTTAGTAAGCAAACACCGGAACTAGTTTCCTCTGACCAAAAACTGCTTTGCTGGGTACCAATTTTTCCAGAAAAAAAGAAGGAACCAGAAAAGCTTCCAGTGTGGTAGATAATACTGTAGATCCTTTCTTCCTTTGCTGTTAGGAAAGAACAAAGCTTACATCTCTGCCAACAGACAGGCCACTGCCCAAGTTTCTTTGTTTTTGTTTTTGTTTTTTTTTAAGAGACAGGGTTTCTTCATGTTCCTGGAATTCACTTTGTAGACCAGGCTGGCCTTGAACTCATTGAGATCCACCTGCTACTGCCTCCCAATTGCTGGGATTAAAGGCGTGCGTCACCATCCTCAGGCTCAGGGGTGAGTTTTTTTTTTTTTTTTTTTTTTAATCATGCCTGGGCTGAAATATCCCTTTTGTTATTACAGGATCACCAGGCATGTTAAACAGACCAGAAACAAAAGGGTGGTAACTGTTTTGCTATTAGCAACCAGGGCAACCAAACAAAAGTATAGGGAGGTAAACTCACTTGGTGTTCGGGTCCTTTAGCTTTCCCTTGGCTGCCAGGTACTCCTGGAGCTTTCTCCATCGCTCTTCTGCAGAATGTGGACATAAACAAACAACAGAAACGTAGTTTGAGGTTTTAACCAGTCCCTTTATAGCCCTAAAATACGATACCTTCCTGTAGCCATTTGGGCTTTGATAAAGTCACCAGTCCTGCTATGCTTGCTTTCAAACTAATATCAACACCAATGGTATCAGTTTGATGCCAAGCTCTTTACTAAGCTGCTTACAATAACACAATAATGCTATGAGGTATTTTGCCGTTTGGGAGGGTAAATGACATGCTTAAATTTACCCACTAATAAGCAGCAAAGTCAGGATTTGAAAGCATGCTTTTTTTAAACCCTTGAGTAAGTAGGACAGGGGACACCGTATGCATCTTGAAGGCGACATGGGGGTGGGGCATTCTGAGGAGCTAGGAAGGGCTCCAGGCCTGTCACAGATATCAGGGTCCACAGCACCTTAAGCCTCAGCCCACATTCTATCACTCATCCTCCAGACAGTGCACATTTTATCAGTCGACCTGCAGAGGAGCAGGGACTCGGACTGAGGCAGAGCCGGCCTCCTGACTCCGGCCATAACCAGCAATGCCCGGTGTCCACACGCGGCCATCGCTCCTCTCTGTGTGACCCGGGTCCAGCGTCCTGAACCTATCTGAGCCCGGGGCAGGCTGAAGCAGGCAGGGGGCGGCCCGGCAGCTTCTGCAGGAGGCTGGCGACCACACTTACCCGCGGCTGCGCTGGCAGCGGGGCCCGGTCCCACCATGACTCGACCGTGTCAGTTTCTGTCTTCAAAGGGAGCGCCCTGTTCTGAAACGAGACCCCGGGCGCGTCCGGACGCTCCCATTGGTTCCGCGACTTTGAAATTCGCCAACCAGAAGGCAGAGAGGGCGGGATAACAGGAAATGGGCGCCTTACGGTTGGCCCCGGGGCCTCCTCGAGGCTCTGCGATTGGAGAAAATCTCCGAGGAGGTCGGCCCAGTGGCCGGGTCACTTCCGTGGTGTCTCTGGGCTGGAGCCGGTGGGTGAGGCTAGAGCTGACAGGCAGGCGCGCAAAGAAGTAGAGCTTACTGTAGCCAGATAAGGGCAGTTGTGACGGTTAGACAGGGAGAAACAATGCTCTGTATCAACCAGGCTGGCGTTGGCCGCAAATAATAGCATGCCAAATGAAAGTAGTCCGTAGTAGTTACTGTTTTCATTCTGTGGCCAAACACCTGAACGAAACACGTTCAGAAAGACTTACTCTGGCTTATGGTTTCAGAGGGTTCAAGCCAGGGTTACTTGGTCTCTTCACTTGGGCAGAGCATTCTGGCAGAGGGGATATGTGGCTGAGGCTGTTTTTTTACCTCTTTACGGACAGGAAGCAGAGGAAGGAGGATAGGAAGACGCCAGGGCAAGACAGAGCCCCTAGTGATGTAGCCTTCTAATGACCTAGCTCATTCGCCAGCTCCCAACATGTCCATCATATTACAAAATCATTGAGGGATCACTCCATTGATGAGGCCATGATCAAATTGTTTCTGGAAAAATGTTCTGAGAAACACATCCAGAGATTAAAGAAAAGAGAGGAAAACCATCCAGGAGTGGAGAAGAATGTTATGGAGGGCTAGAAGAGCAAGGGGTCAGAAAAATTAAAACAAAACAAAAGAACAAAAAAAGATTTCCCAATAATGAGAAAATTAGAACAAAATTACATGAATCCAAGAATGGAAGTAAAACATGGAAACATAATAGCTTATTTAAACAGAATAACATCAAGAAGGTAAAGTTAAAATGCTAACAGAAGACCACTAGAAAGAAAAAAGAATCAAGGAGAAAAGAGAGAGAGAAGAAAGAAAAAAACAGAACCAGCAGCATACATAAGCATAATTAGGTGAGTGTTTGAAGAGCAATAAAACAAAACAGGATCACAAAAGTTTTGCTGTTGTTGTTTTTAATATGATACAAAGGGATGCGATGTCTTGGGTTAAGAGTGTATACTGCTTTTGCAGGTGTCAGAATTGGTTCCCAGTATTCACATCAGGTAACTCTGGTTCCATAGGGTCTTACACCCTGAATTTATATTAGCTTTGTTAGTTGTTCTCCTGATGTCCTCCACCCACTCTGTCTCCTCAACTCCTGCCTCCACTTCAGTGGGGCTCACTGAACTCTGAGGGGATGGGTTTGGTGGAAACATCTTGTCTAGAGCTGTGTAGGGACCTGGTTTTGTGAAATGACACTAACTGTAGTGAATTATGTGAATGCCTAACCAGTTGTTCCCAACAGTGAGGTAATGAAGACAACAAATACAAAACAACCCCTTCACATATTAACAACAACAACAACAACAACAACAACAAAACGCAAAACAACTGTTGTGGAATAATCTCTTTGTACACTGTGAAGATGTGTCTCTGCCATGGCACCTTCTGATTGGTTTAATAAAGAGCAGAATGGCCAATAGGTAGGCAGGAGAGGATAGGCGCACTTCTAGGAAGAGATAGAAACTCTGAGAAGAAGAGATAGGAATTCACCATCTAGACATGGGAAGATGGATGTACAGTATGAAGGAGAGGGAAGGAGCCACGTGGCAGAATGTAGGTCAATATAAACGGGTTAAGTTATATGAGCTAGTTGGGAAGAAGCCTAAGCTAAGGCCAAGATCTCAGAATAAGTCTCAGGTCATTATTTGGGATCTGGCAGTCCAAAGGAAGTCTGACAACAAGCAACCATCTATTGCAAAACCCAAGCAAAAAAGATAGCAAATAAATATATGTCAGCTCAAACTTGTTTTATTTAATTAATAACCAACAATAATGCACTGATTATTATTATTGGTACTCATGTGACGCTGTGGTGTGAGAACAAATTTGGAACCCAGAGGAAACACTGATTACATTCTAGAAAGGAAACTTCAGGTAACAGTGATGTGGTAGTCACAATTAAGATCTTTCCATCTTTGAATTGTTGGATTTAATTGCAGGTGAGGTTGAATGATGTAAGAATACCCAGATAACTTTAGGGACAGAAGGGTGGAAGAGTGGTCCAATTATCATCTTAAATGAACAAAGTAAACAATACAGATTCATGGCCATAATTACAGGATTCCCAAGTAAGAGAATGTAGAGAGCTTCATGGCTGTGGAAAAAGCATAACGTCTGCAACATGGAGCTATAGAGTAGCTACATCTAACTAACTCCACCTAGAAAGCCCTGCTATGGAGTAGCTACATCTAACTAACTCCATCTAGAATGCCCTGCAGTTGAGGACTTAAGGATGTGCCATAAATAATAAAATTATCATAAATATATTTATAAATACATATATAAAATAACTTAAAAATAGCATTCAACATTCTGTCTTCTTGAGGTTTGTTACAGGAGGATTTCATCCAAATGCTCTCCTTGGAATAAAACCCACTGAGGTAGGAAAGATGTAGCTGTTGTCCCCTTCCCTTTAAAAATGATAGAATTAAGTTCTTATAACTTTATCCTACTCAGTCAGCAATTTGGAAGCAGAAGGTACACAGTTTGATTGACTTAGTGGGTCTGTGGATTCTCTTTCCAACTGCCGTTGAGTGTACATTTTAGTTTTCTTATGCTGTAGTTAGCCCATCTGTAACATGGGTAGAGTCTTTTTGATCACCACAGCTCTGTTCCTCCTAAGAATGTCATGAATAATAATTAAAGTGATTAGTACTGTGCAAAATATAGGGTGCTCTTTAAATAACAAATAACATTATGTGTCGAGGTTGATTCCATTAGGCTTTGCTCTTCTCTCACAAAGAGGGTAAACATTCATTTAGAATTACAAAGGCTCAGCACATGCCATGCAAGTGACTCAGGGTGTAGAACCTTCTGTACACGGTACATACAGATTGTTAGCACTTCTCAAGTAAGTGGACCCCACTTAGGAGATCTGGAAGTCTGTCATCGAGGGCAGTCCCATTGCCAGGTGCACCTGGCTTTGTTCTTTTGTGGCAATAAACAGCTCTGGATAGGCAGCTGATGTGAAGTAGTTCTTTGAGTTGACTGTTTTCCAGAAGAAAATGAGGTCGGTCTCACTCCCTGTGATGACTTTTGGTATTTCAGGCATCTCCTGTGATAAGCAAAACAAAATTCTGTTAGTGCCCAAGAAGGTGCTGGAAAAAAACTGAAGTGTCACCCTCTGGCATCTGGCCTTCATGAAAGGCAGCACTCTAGAAGCCTGACTCAGATATGAGCCAGGTTCCTTCATTTGTTCACTCAACATTTATCTCATGCCTATTCAATGTATGGTCCAGACTATTCATGACTTAATTTCCTTAGTTGATTGGAGAGAAATCTAAATGAATCATGCAGACTGTCAATGATATCAGCATCTCCCTGTATCCAGACAAATGAGGCAAAACACCGCACATGTGTATCCTGTTTTAAATGCTGACACCAGGTACTCTCCCCAAATCTGAGCACTGATGATTCAAAGACCTCTAAACATTCTGAGCCCCCAAGCATACACATTATACCTTTCTGGAAACAGTAGAATGTTGAGATGATGTTAGCTCTGCGTTTCAGTCAAAATCTGAAAGTTAACCATACCCATACACACAAAACCCTGAAACCCCACAATGCTTCCCTGATGGATTGGTTGCTGAGGCCTTTGAACACAACCTTTTTAGATTATCCTCTTCATCTGAGTATGAATAAACTCTGACAATAACCTTCATTGAAAAATACATTTCAAATTCTGTGTTTGTTAAGAATCCCTTTTGGACTCTATAAGTAAATAACTTGATCATCTTCCTAGGGGTTTCAACATCACATTGTCCGTCCAGACCTGCTCATCTCCTGCTTTTACCCTTTCCTTGTCGTGCCTCCAGATGACTATACAGGTCTGTTCCCTTGTACGTGTTCACCTTATCCTCCTGCCACATTTCACCCATAACTTCCCAGCTGAGTTCTCTGCTTTCACTAGTGCTTTCCTTCTAGACTGTTGTCTACTTAAGAGATGTAACTGATACCAGCACCCTGCACTGTCTGAAACCCCTTAGTGGCTTTCAGTTGTCTATCAAATGCCTGCTGACCCTTGCTGCTGGCCTATGGGCTCATGAAGTACTGGGGAACGCAGATCCGTATAGGCATAGGATGGCCCATCCCTACCTCTTACTAGCCTGTCTTGTTTCTCTGGGAGCTCCGCTCTTGTCCCTTTCTCTAAACAACACTCTGTCGTTTTCTCTTAGTACCTTGCACATTTTCTGACATTTTCCTCTTTTTATTGTTTTCTATTTGACTTATCTATTGTCTGTGTATGAGAATACTATGTCCCATAAGTTTAGGGATTTTGGCTTGCCATTCTCCATAGTTTTTAATGCTGTACTTGAAAAAGAGAAGGCTCTTCGTAATTAATGGCTCCTTGAATGAATTCATGAGTGAAGCGCCTGCCCTACTTAGTAGGTAACACTTTCATTTTATTTGATTTAGACAGAAATACAGGTGTCCACAAAAATTTCTGTGGAAATTGAAGGCACTAAATTGTACATTTACTGAATGAGAGTCATATTCTTCTCCATGGGAAAAATGACTAATGCTTAAATGTGTGTGTGTGTGGGGTGGCTGTAGAGACCATAGAGATGTGATAAGAGACAGCAGTATCACCAATAGACCACTGGAGTGAGAAAGCAAAGGCTTGAGTGTTGTGGCTCTTAGTTTTTGGCTTCACATGTGTTAGCAAGTTAATCCTCTCTGATCTCAGTGGACTCATTTGAGTTTGTTTTTGAGGTTTGTCCTGCTCTCATTCAAGTCAGATGGTAGATGTCAGTAAAGGTCAACAGAACAATGGATGCTCTGGGATGGGAAGGAAATACAGTCAGGGAGGGAATGGTGAGTATGTACTGACTGTCACAAAGGGGACGCCTGCTTAGACTGCTTACAAACAAATGAGGGAGGCAAATGAGGGCAAGGTTAAGATGGAAGTCAACTGACCTTCAGCAACACGGGCTGGTCTTCACCCTGAGCACTCACAAACAGCTGAGTATTCGAGATTTTTAGAGTAACAGGATATTTAGAGTCGTCTTCTGACGAGTAGACATACATGTCAAATTTTACTGTCAAAGAAAAAGCCAGAAAGAAAGTAAATCCACTATTTTTTAAATATAAAAACAGGTGTTTAGATAGGTGTGTGTGTGTGTAGAACACATGTAGACTAAGTCAATATGTGGGGAAACTGTGGTAAGTAGGAAATAGGATACACAACAATTTGCAAAAGTCATAGGGTACAAACTATGGCCTTGACCTTGAGTGCTCACAAACCGCTGGGTGTCGGAACTGAACATGGTAACTGAAGTGTGCGCAGTGTCTCAGATCAGAAAGGACCATGCCTGCTTATTATAAAGTTGCTACTGTGGCTCTTTAAAAGTAATTCTGTATGTTGATGATGTATTCTGAATCTAAAACAGGTTTATTATGAAAGCTGGATTTGTACAAGAAAGTTTGGACCCTGAATTTCGTCCTTCAGACCCTGTTGCAGTTGGGGCTGTTTGGCTTTCCCTTCATATTAGCAAGCTCTTCCTAGCTGAACAGAAAGTGACTGTCTGCACCTTGTTAGCTTCTGGGTAAGTCATTAAATATTTGTGGCATTCAGTTTTCTCTTCTTTAAAATCAGAATAGGGAGGTCGTGTTGAGAGTGTCTATAAGCACCCAAGAGGTGCTACATCAGAAAGCTCTCTGTCCCATGTTGTGGACTCAGGTAGGAAACTGCTCTCTGGTGGAACTCAGAGATTTGGATGACAGTCTGTCCTTTCCAGGGATTCTTGGTGGGGGTGGGGTGTGCCATTCTGTTCTAGAAGAATTGTGCAAAGCCCGGGAGGTAGATAAGTTTGTGCTTTGAAAGCAGAAAGAAGCAAAGAAACCCAAGGAGGGGAGGAGTGACAAGGTAGCCATTTACCTTCATGTTGCAGGTCATTTAACGAAGCTGCTTTGAGATGCACTTGGTCTGCATCCAGGTAGATATTTTGATTGAGGGAATCATTCAGGACGAACTCCTGCATGACTCGCCTTATCAGTTTGTATCTCATATTGCTCTGGAAGACGTAAGGTGCTGAATCTGATTGGATGGTCTCTAGGATCATTACCACAAGTTCAGGTTATTGCCTAGTTACAAATATAGGTGATGTACACATGCTAATACAAGCATCAGATGTAGCTCTGAGAGGGACTGTAGGGGTCACCAATCCAGGTGGAACAGCCAGAGTTGAAATCAATCAGCAGAAGGCTTAATTCCGGTTAGGGTTTCTATTACGGTTATTTCTTAATTTTGTTTTTTTTTGTAAACCAATTCATTAGATGATAATTTTATTTTACCTTTTGAAAGAGTTCTTGAGAAACTTTTGCATTTTTGTTAGCTATTTGCTTTTCTTTCTCTCAGTATGGAGCCCTGGCTGGCTTGGAATTTACTCTACAGACAAGAATAGTCTCAAACTCATAGAGATTCTCCTGTCTCTGCCGCCCACTGGGATTAAAAGTGTTAGCCACCATGCCTGGTTCTGTTAGCAGGTTTCCAAAAAGTCAAGGAAGACTACCAGTCTTCCCAATCTATATTTTTCAGATGAGCGTATGCTAAGATAAAAGTAATTGTGTTAAAAATCGTATACCATAATGATATGTCCCCATTATCTATAACACATATAAAAATCTTCCTGGAAATTGTATGTATGAGTAGCTTCATGAATCTCCAGGTTCTGACTATTTCACTTATAGGATGCTATTCTAAGAAAATGAATGGTGATGGAAATTGGCATAGATGTTTATTGCCACTTCTGAGTTGAAAAATTTGCCTGTAAAATGTCTGTAATATATTAAATGAAAAAGCTGGATATGAGATTGTGTGTAGTATACCAGTGATGATGTTGGACATGTTTGCTCTAGTGTGTATCTGTATGCACAAAAGTCTTTTAGGAACCATTCCCTGGTGTTGGTAGGGTTAAAATCTTGGTGGCAAAAATGAGTGAATGTTAATGTTCTTTCTTCTACTTTGTTTTATTTTAAAACTTTCTAGGTGGAGAGGTATTGTTGTCTAGGTTTTATATTAAAATGAGTACTTGGTTTATGTTTCCTATGGAGGAATGAATAGCAAAGACATGAAAGACAAACTCAGGGTTCTCATAGTCATAGTGGACTGAATTAGCTGCCAGGGTTTCCCACATAGAGGCAGAGCCTCATTTCCTCATATGTAAATGGAGAGGGGAAGGTTGTTTTGGAGTCTACAGAGAGTGCAGCCATCAATAAATTAGTAGTGTTGCATCATTTACAAAGGCATTGGGAGTAATCACAATGGCTGACATTTCTTGGGTGGTGACTTCACATTGGACATTCTTCTAGTCTAAATGTTTTGAGGCATTGGCTTCTTTAATCTTTACAGGAACCCAGTGAGGTGTAAGACTTGGTCATCTCTATTCACAGTATGGGGAACTGAAGCCCAGAGAGATTGAGGAACATGACTAAGGAGGTGACACCTAGCGGAGGTCATGAGCTAATGGACTATGACTGCTTTCCCTCCAACCAAAGACCTTTGCATGACCTTTATAATAGAGCCGGGAAAGGAGCCCTTGAGCAACTGTTCTAGATGCAGGTTACTATTGATCTCCCCCCTCTGGAGAAGAGTAGCATTTCATTTTTCTTTGTTATAGTTATTGACCTAATGTCTGCTTGCTTCCTATTATTTTGGTTCCAAGATTTATTTTCTTTCTACTCCATTATCATCATTTGCTCAAAACTGAAAAACTGGATTTTGTTACGTTTTATCCCTTACCTTCTAAATTGCGGGTTATGGTCTCCAGGTCATCTTCGGCAAAGGCCTGATTGAAACCCAGTCGTCTCTTCTTCAGAATCTTCCCTTTGTCGGATGTTGCTGCCACCATCACTAGGCTCTCTTCAAAGGTTAAGCTGGACATCTTTGAGGTTTCAGAGGTTCTCAGAGATACAAATTTATCTGTGCAGTTCTCATGGAGTGACCCATAGCTTGCATCGTAGAAGGATTTCTGTAAGGAAGGGAAGGGGCACCTGAGAGCTTATCTTTGGCCTCATGATGAGACTTTTTAGTAGGGTCTGTATCCCACAGACTTAGTGAGAGGGATCTCCATTCTGGGTGTAGGGAACTGTGCTTCATCCCTCCCTCTGGCCCTCCTCTGCCCTTCCTTCCCCTCTGCTCCATTCCTTCTGGTTTCCCTTCTTGAATTTCCCTGAAACCACATGGCTGGGGTGAGGGAGGTCTTTTCACCTGTCTTTAGGCTCAAAAAGAAAACATTTTAATGAAACAGGTTAACATGTGATCCTGGTGAGTGAGATCCTTCCATCAAGAGGTCTGACATCTACTCCAGAGTGCTCAAAATATTAAAAAAAATACTTTTGACCCTCTATATTGCCTGCTCAAATTAAACCAACCTTAAGGTTCAAAATATTTTTTAAAACTAAATGACATCTGTACTAAACATGTGAATTTTTTGTCATTACTTCCTAAATAATATAATCACTGATTCATAAGTATAACAATTTTTTATAGTGTTCACATTGTGCCAGGTGTGGTTACGTCAACTAGATACGATTTAAAGTCATTTGAAATACATGTATATTTTATACAAACAGAAGGTCACTTAATATAAAGGACTTGGACATCTGCAGGAGGTGATCTCCCTGGGGGCCTTGCAGTCAAGCACCCATGGATACCATTAGTATGGCTGTTTTCCTGGAAGCAGCTTTTAAAACAGGTATCACAGATACACAAAATAATTTGCTGAGCTTTCTCTATCTCAGCTCTGTGGGCTATCAGGCTATCTCTAACCTCTGCCATTAGTGTTTGATAATGACATCAACATAGAATGTTAGGAGATAAGAGGTGGATTGAAGCAACTGGCTAAAGATGACAAAACTAACAATTTGAAGGAGCCTGACCCAGAAGTTCTTAGGGCTTCTGTTAGCTCTTCTCTGTTATAGAAGAATCAATGAGCATGAAGAATGCCAGTTAACTGATAGTATAGAGAGGCAAGTGAACTCCCTAAAAATAAATATTTTAGACCTTTAACAAAAGTGTATAATACTTGACCTTCATTGTGCTTTTCTGGTAGAGGAACTAGTGTGTAAAAAGAAAAAAAAAAGAAAACCCAGATCTATAAGAATGATAATCATATGCTTACCTGACTCAGAGAGAGATGGTCAATGGCTGAATTGTATTCCTCATTTTCACTGTCAAAAACATATAAGGATACTGTATTTTTGTTCATCATTTCACTGAGGTCTGTAGGCATCATATCTTAATGACCACATTAACTTTGGGTAGTACAGACAACATTCCTGAATACTGATTTAGACATAGGCACTATTGAGTCTGAATGCTCTAACACAGCAATGGGTTTTAGTGGCTGTTTAAGAGTTACTCTATTCTTAGGAGAACTTGATCCCAGTCAGGATGAGAGTCAGCTCTACAGTAATTTGGGCATATGAACATGCACGCACACACAAACACACACACACACACCATTACTCTTTGAAAAGTTAAATATTTCTACATATTCATGTCTACACACATAGTAATTCATCTGTCACTAATTTGGAATTAGTAATTATTAGAACAGCTTTGTACTTTATCTGTAAGAATTAGGCATGACTAATAAATCAAAGAGCCTAATTGGGCTTCAGGAAAGGCTGAAGCTGCTAAAAGAAAAGAGAAACTTTTGAAGCACGTCAGACACACGTTGTCATACACTGTTTTCATATACTCACTAAAACAGATTCCATGTTTAACAGTTCAAGCACTAGTTTGTAGCCTCATTAGCATTACATTAATTGTAAACAAGAACATCCTGTTAGTTAAGAATGTTCTAGAATTTCAGCTCTGCTCATTTTTTTTTTCTGTCAGGAAGTCTTTAAGAAAATACTTAGTTTAAATTATCTTTCTTACTTCATTTATGTGACATTTGATATTTAACAGTCCTTTTTATAATACAAAATAACAAATTTTCTTACAGTGTCTGATAAATTTTTTTCAGGTCCTCTTGCTAAAGATTTGTTGTCTAACTACATTCAGCTCTGCTCATTTATCTTCTGTATCAGGGTGAAGTTTGACTGTGGGTGTGAGTTCATGTGCCCAAGAGCTGTTTCCTCCTCTTGACTGGGAGCAGATTCTCTCAAGAATGAATTCTCTCTCAAATAGTTCATTAAGTTCATTAAAAGCTGCTGCCGTACGGAGCACACAAACTCTTTTGAGTGCCTAAGTTGATGTTGATATAAGATTATGTAGGAGTCAGTATACCTCAAAAATATTTTTCTAAATTCCCATTTTTGTTAGGGAAATATCACTTTAGCATGTTGGATGCCTTGTCCTTCTAGTTCTTCTCTGGTCTTGCCTGAACTTCAGAGCTAGCATATATCTACAGAGTCTCTGACAACATGGCACCTGACTCTTCAGCTGCCTCTCTCAGGTCTTTAACACCTAGTTGGAGTCATTGAATCACAAAAAGTAGAATGTGTTTCTTACCTGTAACAGTTCTTCAGGTCTTCAAACAAGTCAGGGACTTTGGCCATCTTGACTTCTGCAAAAGAACACCAGTGGTGGTCAGCTCTCCATCTCTGAACCCGGTGCTTGCAAGGGCAGTGACCCTGCTTTGTTCTTCTTGAGAAACGACAATGAGTGGCTGACTTATCACAGGCCCAGCATTTCCTCTATTCTTCTTCACACTCCCTTACATTATTTGTATATGCTTTGGTCACCTCTACTAGTTTGTACATTTGTTTTAGAATGGTTTCTATCTTGGTATTCTTTGTGTCCAGCTCATTCCATCACACATAATAGGCATTCAATCAATGGTGGATAGAATAAGAAAAAAAAAAAAAAAGGAAAACCACCTGCGTGAGGTATCTGCCTGTATAGAGGTGAGGGAGATACAGAATGGGAACCAGCATATCTCTCTCATTTTTGTCAGTAGAGATTTCCTATCTCCAGGAAAAGATTCAGCTGTACTGATGGATTCTCTCCCAGGAATCCTGTTCAGCTGCCTCCCCAGGTCCTTATCACCAGAAAGAGAGTTCTCTGAAATCTGTGATTCCAGTTCCCACACCAAATCAGGAACAACAAGAAAGGAAAAGAGAACAGACCATATCCTTACAGAAGGTGCCTCGAGAGAAGACAGTCGAGGAGCAAACAAAGACAATCTTTATAGCCTCAGATATGATAAAGGACAATACCTTTGCCGACTCAAGCTCCAATGAGGTGACTCCCTCTCTGCCCTGGAGACTTATGCCTGAGTCAGGCTTGTCGGTCTTTTATAATCATCTCCCTCAAGTAGGTGTGGCCACCAGTGTGTCACTGGGAATTTACAGGAAATAATTCTGCTTTGTATCTTTCTATGTTCACTCAGCTTGATACTGGCCAAAATGCAGCTCATACACTTTGGTAATGATGTTGTTTGCAAAGATTCCACCGGCTGTTGGCTTGATTCATCTATTTATTGCTTGTTCCATATGATTATAAACATGTAGTCTTGCAAAAAGAGGAAGAGTAGCAGGAAGTTCACCAAGACACTCAGAGCATTTGGTGGAAGAGGAAAGCAGAAATCCTCAAATCAGAGGGTTAGACTGAGTAAGATGGGCGCTTCGGGGGTATACTTTGTGTTTGGTCTAATTTGTTTATTGTGCTCCAGGATTGAATCTGGGCAGGATAATTGGCAGCTAAGGCATGACATTTGAGCAGAAAATGAGGTTTACCCATCCCCTCTGAAGATAAAGGTTTGCTTGAGTAAGTCAGGAATCTGAGTATGGAATGACAGCCTTATGGTTAGAGGGCAGAGGTGATAAAAGTGACATTGACCATGAAGATCTGGGCCCTCTTACTCCTTTGAGTAATGTCAACACATTTCCCACAGAGATGACAGCTTCAGGGGAGAACGCTCAGCCTCAGCCATGTCATTGTAAAGTGACCCTGTCCCACTACCTAAAGACAAGGATGGATCAGAGGTGGGCAAGGGTAGCTACCCACTTAGGCAGACAGGGACAAAAGTCCAGCCGGGACAGTGGCTCAGCTCAGGAATGGAGGCTGTGGGAAAGGAAGATATGGATTCTTATATATGATGTGGAATCAGCATTGCCTGGTCATTTTTATTAGAGACATTTTCAGTACCTAAGGTTGGTCCAGTTCAGGTGGTAGAGCACCTGACTTTCAGTAAATCAGGGTTTCGCCTTTCCTAGTTGGCATTAAAGCCACACACATTTTAAATAAAGGAAGTGAGTGGTAGACGAGGAAAGAAAAAATGGCAGAGAGAGAAAGGCAAGCCACTGAAACACAGGATAAAAAGAAGCATGGGACTAGGAGTACAGTAGCTTATATGTGTTGGATGAAGTATCCCATCTGGTCCTGCTTAACCATAGATAATGGAGCAGTTTAAACATTCATTGGTTCTATTGCATATGGAGATTCTCCAATTCCAGCTCTGCTGCCCAGCCTGCCCCTTCTCGTGTTGTTTTTATAAACAGGAGTCAAAGATGAGTGATATCCTAAATGAGGGCAGAAAGGATGCTGAAGCAGACTGGAGTCAAAGTGTGGGTGTCTCTAAACATGTCTTATATGAGCAGCGATAGCAGCCAGCTACCCCCATATCTCTGCGTACCGTAGTTCCCCTTTAGGCAACACAGAAATGTTAATCTTGTCATCTTCTGCCTGTTGGACATCATGTGAGGACAATCACTACGAAACAAATGCAAGGTGCATTGTGAATGTGGGCTGCTATGGAGATGCAACTAAACACAAATAATGACATTAATGATGGCTCTAGTCACTTGAGAGTCTGTAGAGTCATCACCGTGATGCCTTAGTTCACAGAGGGAATAGACTTCCTATGAAAATAGGGCTTTAAAGACTTCAACAGGGAAGACATTTTCAAGTGAGGGCCACTACTGAGGCATCGAAGCTATTTGGTTTCTGAGAACAATGCATGGCGCCTCTTTGGCAATCTGGGAAAGCACCTTTGGGTCTACCATCTGTGGCAACACCCAGTCCAGCTCCATCTTCATTCCTGCGTTGTGGAGAATTCCCCAGATGAGAGTTGGGTTGAGAAACAGCCCATTTGGGTCAGTGTCTCTCTCAATTTACCATTTCACATGATCTTCTTGGAAAGTGGTTTTAAGGGAAAAAGACAGTGCAAGAGGTTCAGAGAGTGAACTTGTTTGGTGGGGAGCTTACCTTCGTGAGAATGTACACCAAGTGTGTCTAAACCAACTCTTCTAGGGAAGGGAGAGGGGGATGCGTTGGGTAGGGCTTTAATGGTGTATTTGGTTCGGAGCTTCTAAGTAATTCGGGGAAAATATTGTGCACTTGTTCTGTGCCATAGGTGCTGCTGGACATTAGCGTTTTCTTTTCAGCAGCCACCAAACTAAGCACGCAAGATGAAGTGATGGGTGTTGGTAGGTGAATGTGCTTCCTAAACCCAGATGCTATAACTCTGAAGGATCTGCCTGCCTGCCTGCCTGCCTGCCTGCCTGCCTGCCTGCCTGCCTGCCTGCCTGCCTGTCTGTCTGTCTGTCTGTCTGTCTGTCTGTCTCTTTGCCCTTCCTTTCATCCTTCTATCTCATCCCTTCTCTCCCTCTGTCTTTTGTTCTTGACAGGGTCTCACTATATCTCTGAGTCTGATCTCGAACTCTTGCTCATCCTGCCTCAGCTTCCTGAGTGCTGGGATTATAGGCACAGCCATGTATACTTATCATAAAGATCCAAAGAACCTTGGTGACACTTTTGACAATTGCCTTATGGCTCTCAAAGTGCTCACACTTCATCCTCCAACCACACACATTCAGTGGCCATTTCTATCCCCTTATGTGGCTGAAGACCTTGGAAGAAGAAGGAAATGACCAAATGAAGGTCATAAAACTGAGACACAGACACAGCCTGTACTTGAAACCCAGGATTCTGATTCCAGGTCAGATCTCATTTGCAGTCTGAACCCTAGAAGGCTTTATCACCATCACTGTCAAGTGACAGGGCTGAAATGCATTGTCTTTAGTGATTCTAAGATTTTATACAAAAATAAAAGATGGTCTAGGGGGATGGCTCAGAAGTTAAAAGTGATTGTTGGAAGAACAGGAGGACCAGAGTTCAGATATCCATAACCCATGTAAATGCTTGGCAGCCATTTTGTAACTCCAGCATCAGAAAACAGAGCAAGGAAATCTGGAGCAATCCGGCTAGCTGGACTGATTATATCTGCAAGCTCGGGGTGACTGAGGAAGGTTTCTCATATCAAGCCCCAGCCTCAGTACTCACACACACACACACATAGAGTATATGCACATGTGCTCACACAAACACACTCCCCAACACAAAACAAACCCCAAGGATCAGGAAGATTTTCTCCTTGCTCTCCTCTAGTGAGATCTCCTTTTATTCTGTGGTTCTCTGAAAACAGAAGGAAGGCTTCCAGTATGATTGAGTAACAATTGGCAGTGGAGTATGGCTGTGAACTTAGGCATGGTCTGCCAATGTACCATGAAGGTGGGAAGCATAGGCAAACACCTTCAGAATTCACTTTAAAATTAGCACATGGTGCCTAGATACCTTGAATACAAAGAGAAGCATATCTCTGAATTTTTCTGGGGTAAGAACTTGGCCCTCTGTGTCCCTGGGCTCTGTATTCATAGATTCAACAAACTGTAGGCAGAAATACTTGGGGACAGTGGGAAGGAGAAGTATCTGTATTGAACAATGTAGATACTGTTACTATGTTGTATCTGTTTTAGCATCATTCTGTAAGCAATACAGTATAACAGCTTTTTACAGAGAATAAATACTACATTAGGTGTTATAAGAGATACAGAAATGATTCAAGGCATATGGGGACAATGTATAGGTTATGTGAGGGCAAAGCTGTGTTCTATCTGGGATATGAGCATTTACAGGGTTTGTCATTCGTGAGGACGTAGGGATCCTGGAATGAACTACTTGTGGACCTCACCGGAGGGTGTGTTTCTCTTTGGGTGATATGCTGCCAGTTCAGAGGAGTAACACCTGAAGAGGCAAGTGAGTTTTATAGTCTCCATTCATGCCCTTCTTAGTTTTAATCTACTTTTTAATTCTATGACAGTTAGGCCAGAGGAAATGATGTTCATAACACCCTGTTAGCTTCCAGGTTTTACAATATATTATCTCATCTAATCTTCTCATTAGACCAGAAAGGTAGGTAATCCCCATCACATTTTACAGAGGAGGAAGTAAAGTTCTAACAAAATTAAGTAACCAGCCCGAGGTTGCCAGGGTCAGCAGGTTGCGGAAATAGGACTCAGACACGAGCCTACATTCAACCACAAGGCTGTCTCTATGTCTTAATGTAGTCTCTCAACCACCCTCCACTCTGTTTTCTGGTTCTCTTTTAAATGGGGTTTTACTCTTTCTATTTTGTCTTGTCTACAGGGAGTCCTACAGTTACAAGCTACAGAAGGTACACTTTGGAGACCATCTACTTTAAACTCTCAGAAAAGAGCTTAGGCTTAGTTGGAGACTACATATGAGAGCAGGAAATAAAATTAAAACTCAGCTCTTGATTCTGCCCTACACTATCCTACTTCTGAAGGACCGAGGCTTTTCAGTGAAGTGGGGAAAGACAAGAAGTAAATTCTCCTGTGACTTCTCACTCGTAAAAAGTAGTTATAGGGGCTGGTGACATGGCTCAGTGCTTAAGAGCACTGGCTGCTCTTCCAAGTTCAGTTCCCAGCACCCATGTGGGGTGGCTCACAACTACCTGTAACTCCACCCATATGTAACTCCAGCTCCAGGGAATCTAACCTCTTCTGGCCACCCCGGGCACCCACATGCATAACACACACACACACACACACACACACACACACACACACACACACACACACACACACACACTTTAACACACTTTAAAGGAGTTACAAAGAATGAAGGAAATCTATAATACTTCTGAACTTTTTTTCCTGTCATTTACTTTATATCAAGCGAGTACAGCCAACTATGGTCTCTGATCTTCTCAAAGCTGACAATGAAGCCAATGATGACCCCTGACACCACATACTTAATTACGCATTGAACTTAATTGTAATAAAGGTATGAATTCAAGTTCTATCTCTATAAAGTGTCAAGTTCTACGCTACCATTGAGCTGCATCCCCAGCTTGCTTCGTCCTTTCATAGGATAACAATTTGAGTTTGAGAACTATTTCTAGACTGTAAAACAGTACACAGAGAGATGGCAATGCATCCATAAAGGTATCAAAAGCGGTCTTTCTATCTGATCTCAAATGTGTGTGATTAAGAT